TGGTGATTTCCGGCAGCTATAAATTGAGCCTTCCCCTACCCAACAAAAACAACTCACAACCTGCAGAGAGCAAGCTTTTCTCTCTATCTTGCAAAACTCAGACTCGTGCACTGTTCATCTTCTTCTCCAATTTGTTTTTCTGGCAGCTGCCAGAAGAACTCTGCCTTTCTTTTTCCTTTTTCCCTAGTCGAATTCCTCACAAAACACCTCATTCCTTACTTAAACACTTTCTTTTCTCATAAACCAAGCCTAATTTCTCTCTTAGTGCTAAACCCATGTTGATTTTGCTCCCATGCCACATGCCACTCATGCTGAGCTGAAAAGACTATCTGTAAGCATGCCAAAACTATCTGCAAGTTACCATTATTCTCGTTGGTGAAGATAACCAAAATACTTCCTAAGGCTCTACTGCCTTTTCAAGGTATTTTGGGGCTTAATTTTCGAACTCAGGCTCAAGGGGCAATTTCTTCCATTTTGCCCCGTCAGGCCCGTAGTAGCTGCCGGAAGAAAAAAGCCCCTACACTCTCTATCTCTCTAGCCCTAATTATTTTCTTATCTAATGGAATTTATTCCGCCAAAATTCCTTTATCTACAAATTGGCCCCACTTCATGATGCATTGTAGATATGTGCTTGTCACATGTAGGAGGTGCAGCTTGAAGTGTTCCCTCCTTTTGGGGGGGGTTGATATTATTAAGCTTAATAATATCCAATATTGAATCACTCTATTTCCAATGTTGGCTTTTGACCATCTTTCTTCCCCCTCCCCCCCCTTTTTTCTTTTTCTTTTTTTGTAATTTTTTTTTTTTTTGTTTTGTTTTTGTGGGGGTGATATTATATTATCCAATATTGAATCACTCTATTTCCAACGTTGGCTTTTGACCATCTTTCTTTCCTTTTTTTTTTTTTTTGGGGTGATATTATTAAGTTTAATATTATCCAATATTGTTAAGATAATATGAAAAGTTATGGGAGTATTATAAAGAGATTAGACAGACTAATAACAGTAGGAGTATGTTGATGAAAGTGAATCCTCCTCATTTTTAAAGGCTTTATGTGTATTTGGACGCATCCAAAAAAGGGTTTGCAATATGTTGTGGACCTTTAATAGGTGTTGATGCATGTCACCTAAAGGGAACATTTCAAGGTAAATATTTTTAGTATTTTTATTTGGCATTAACTTATGTAGATGTGATATTAATTTAATATATATTTGTTTCTTTACATAGTACGTAATTCAATATAATGGTAGGGTAATTACCCCCTAAGCTATTTTTTTGGGGATAAATTAAGGACTTAAATTTTATAAAAATGGTCAATTGGTGACCCGCCGTCAATTTTTTGGTTTTCCGTCAATATTAGGGGTGAATACTTAATTTCCTTTTTAAAACAGAAAATAACAAATAAAAAAATAAAAAAATTAACAAAACAAAATTT